CAGGAAGGGCTCCCACCCTGCACTGCAGGATACGTATAACTGGGACAGCAGGAGAGGGGTGAGGATTTTCCTCCTAAAACCAGTAAAGGGGAAACACATCGGTTCACATCTTCACTAGGGCCAGGCCTACACTCAGTAGTACACTAGTGGTGTGGGTATGCACTGTACAGCCAACTCCTAATTAACACTGGCTAGATCACCCATAGGTTACCATAATTGTGTCACACACAGGCCTTTTATAATCCATCCAAGCATTAAGATATTTCATTTGAGAAAGAAAGCTATGTTTAGTGCACTCTTACACTGCACTGTTCATATATTATTTTGGGGTTTTCTCACTTCATGAGACAGACAAAACAACTAGACTGACAGCATATACTAGTGAAGTGTTTCTACTGTGATTCAGCTTTTTTGGCAAGGCAGTGCTTGCAAGCATATGGGAGAATCTATTGTAAATAAACAACTGCTATGGTGAAAGTCATGTCTGTCACGACTTGTGTCTTCACAAGCGGGTTGACCAGCCTTGTCAGAGATTTCTTTTTTCGTACCCCTCATCGATAGCACTTTGCAGAACTGGCCAAGCATAGGGAGCTGTACTTGTCTATGCTGGCAGAGTCAAAGCAAGACAGTTCCTCACTGTGAAAGCACAGTTTTCACAGGAAGGAACAGCAGACTTGTAGTATTATTCTTACCCAGGGGAAAAGTAAAAAGCCATATTGGTATAGCCTGCCTTATACGCATGGAACTTTGTCCATATTAAGGGTTCTTCTAGCAGAGCTGTAAGTCTAAATGCAAAACCACATTACTCCAGTTTCAGAGCTTATTTACATGCCAGATTTGAGGGACTGCTGAAGCATATATGTTAACATATGTTAATTAAAACCAGAGTTCTGCTAGGTAGGCCAAGACTAGGTTTACTCATTAATGCATAACTGATGTGTTCCTGATGTGTCCTAGGCCACCTGCAGTTTGGACCTGGGGTTAGAAACGGAGTTCTTGTTAGCTCAAATTATGAAGGACAGAAAGCTTACTAGCAAGAACAGAAGAGGGCAAGCTGAAAAAACTCCACTCCATGCAGCTTGCATACTCCAAAATCCCATGTCCAAGGAGTTCTCATGGACAGGGCAGTAGGGAACACACGGTGAGCTTGCTGAGGTATTCTGGTAGGCTATTTCTAGTGCATATCTAGACACTGATCACTGAATACAGCTAAGATTCTTTCAAACGTAAAACACTAGTAATCTACAGAATTGCCGTACTGGGAAGCATTTAGGTGATTAACCTACTTGCCCTTGTAGACATTGCAGTATTATTCATGCTCAGGGAACAAACACTGGCAGGGAAATATTTTTCTTTTTAACATGGATGGACAGCTGGAGTAAAAGTCTCCTTTGCCATCGGTTTTAGTACTAAAACTGTGAATGTTCAGTTCAATAAGGAGTTGTGAATCTAACCCATGTATATAATGTCTTTTATCTTTCAGGTACAGTGTGTTTTACCTACTTCCTGGTGGAAGAAGTATCCTATAAAGTTGCATGCTGGGGAGGGTGTGCGAAAGCAGGGACTGAGTGCCCAGTATCACTTGGAAAAGAACTCTTCATTATCCCCTTTCTTCCTGTTTTGAATTAACCTATTTGCTGAGCAGGCTGAGATTTGCTCCTAGAGATCATATCTGTAGTTTTGTTGCTACTAGTTTGAAAAGCCTGCATTTCCAGCCATTGATCCAACAATTCCTAGTGATACTCTGCCTTGGGCAGGAAAAACCCAAAAGACAAAAAACCATTTGTCCTAAAGACAGAACGCTAGGACCCTGACCATCTCATTTGAACTGACAGTTTCTGGGCATCCTTACCATTTTAGTCCATCCTCATCATCTTCTCTGTCAGCTTTCATGTCCAGATGTCTTATTCTTTCCATATCTCTTCTGAAAGTCTTCAGTTGCTTCAAAGCCTGGTATTTTTGACGACATCGTTTTTCCTGACTCCTACAAAAAAAACCTTGGAAGTTAAAGCTACGTTTTAAACATTATCAGACTTCTGCATAGTTAACTGGGAAGATGCTAATGCAGACAGAAAACAATGTATGTGAAGAACAACACATTGTATCTTCAGTCTGTGGACACTAATAACACTGCTTAAAACCAAACAGAATGATTTAGTGTAAAACAGTATTTAAAATACAACAGAAGAGAGTTGGAATACTGACTTGAGCTAGAATTTTGAGGAGAAGAATGGAAAGGAGGAAGTGGGGGGGGAGAAAGAAAACTGTGCCTCTAACACCCTTCAGAACAGCAACAGAGAGAAGGATCTCAGGTTTGATGCATACGGAGACAAAAAAATGTGCACAGACAGACATGAATGTTTCAGGGTGAAAGGAAAAGAATGACAGGCTTCAGCTGGTCAACAAGGTAGAAATGTCACTGATTTGGGAAAAAGCCTTGAGAGAAGACATTGCAACTGTTCCTATGAGAAGAGTGTTGAAGAACAGTACAGTGATCTCTGAACTGAAAACACGTGACAGCGATACAGATCGTATGTGGACTGAATTTATTATTCTGTCTTTGGTTTGTCCTTTTCTGGGTGAAAAGGACGACAATGTCCAAAGTAAGTACATCCAACGTTTCCAGCAAAACTATTTTCAGAAAAGTAATTCAGAAAGATCTTAAATCACTGCTGTAAATATTTAACCTGTAATATTTTTTGCACATGTAAAACTTTCCATCATCATCCCCATATTCTTATTTTAATATCAATCCATATAAATGAATCTTTAAAAGGCCTGAAGAGAACTCCTAAATCTGGTCAGAAGCAAGGTGTGTAGTGTTTTAAGAGCATACAGAAAACAGTCCCTTCCTACCTCTCAAGGCTTACTAGGGCATCATGTAAAGAACGAGCTGCTTCTTTACGTATTTCTGTGAATTTTTGCCTCATATCAGCACACAAGTTAAATTTGCTATGGCAGCTGCAATAAAAACAACACAGAAAGCTAGAATTAACATCTTGTAGTAGTCATTTTGAGGTAATCACCTGTGTTGCTCACAACTTACAGCAATGTGAGTCCACATAAATTTTGAGATCTCCTCATTTCCCAGTAAAAAAAAAATAATCCAGATTTAATATAATTTACAGTTGTGGTGGTTTGTTTTTTAAAAATCAAATTTATGAAAGAATTTGTTTATTAAAAAACCTGTAAATAACATCAAATATGGATTTTTACCATTCTTCCAGTCATAACCTCCCAGGAGAGGGCCTTTGCATTGAACTGAAATGTACTCTACGTGCAGCAACATTTCACTGGCTTGCTCTAGTCTCATGTAATAAAACGCTGACGTTTGCATGCCAAACACTTTTCACACAAAGAGCTGAGTTTATACAGCATAGGATGTGTTTCAAAGACAGATGTGTACCCTTACCTTCTGGGCTGCTGCTTGCTTGGTGTTACACTCTCTTGGTCCTTAATGAGTGGCATGTTTGCCTTGTGGTTCTGAGCTACTGGCAACAAACTGCAAGACATAAGGTTTAAAACAGTGTACAGCATGCCTTCTTCAGATTGTGAAAGATTCTACAGATGCCAATTAGACTTTCTTAGTATTGCAGACTTGAATGAGCTATGGCAGTACAAACTTTATTTCTCCTGACCTCAACTCAAAGGAAAAAATGCGTCAGCAAAGTCTAACTGTAAGAATGGTTTGTCATGTTGATCTTATAGCTGTGGAAACCACCACAGAACTGAGTAATGAAGGGACACATCTAACACAAGCTTAGCTGGAAATGCTGTAGAGAGACTACTGTAAAAAGCAATGGTAGAAAAAGGAACAATTATAAAGGAATAAGGATAGAACATTCCTTTTTCTACAAAGCACAAGCTCTGTCCCAATGAGTTGCTTCTCCCAGTCATTCAGAAACCCATCAGATAACGTACCGTTGCATTCCAATCTTCTTAACCAGATCTTTTTGTTTATGGGTATCTTTTGACACTTCTTCACGCATTATCTGGATGACTTTCTGTAGGGCTGATAAAAATACATAAATCTGTAAAAGCATGCAACTCCTCGCATTCCCTTCTTTCTTGTGGAGGGAAAGAACCGGCATGAATGAGGCACCCGCTATTTAGTATTTAAAAAAAAAAAAAAGAGCAGCTTTTGAAAGAGATTTCAAGATAGGTACCCAGATATGAATGCACAGAATTCATTAATAACTTTTGAAAATATGAGCTTTGTTCTTTCAGTTGTGTGTGTGTGGGAAAAATCAAGCAGAAGACGCTAAATATTTTTTACATTAGAAGCATAAAAAAGTGCATTTGAAAAACTGGTAGATTTGAACAAACTATGTGGAAAGTCTATTTTTAGTTCCTGTACTGTGCTGTTAGCAATCTACTGGCGTAACTGTCAATTCTTCTGAATTTCTACATCTACCGTATCACTTTGCCCTTCTTTTAAATGTCAAATGGAATTTAATACATTTAACATCAACAGGTATCTAATTACCTCTCCGTGTCTCCTTATCAGCATCCACTAAAACTTCCTCAAGTAGCCCTTCATTGGCTATAGTTTCCAGATTATCCACCTTAAAGCAGATCTCTCTCATTAATAACACTCTTCATTCTTTCTGCCTTCCACTGTAAAGCAAATACTTACATTCTCCTCTTCCTTGAATATGTGGAAAGCCAATTTCACGGACTGGCTTCCCTCAAACCACCATCTTTATTTTCTTTCCCACTGCTGTTTCATTTCTGCTTTGATGCCAAACCCCGGAGAGACACTGAGACAGTCATCTCTGCACTACTTGTGAAGTGCCCCACACAGCATAACAGAAAATGACTGCGGAATGTTGACAGCACAAATCTACAGATTTTAATATTACACTGGGAATTTATACATGTAAGAAATGAATGGAACAAGTCGCTGGGCACCAACTAATGAGCTAAAATTTTTAAATGTCACACCTATGATGAAGTTGCTCTAGTAGCTGTGGCCAAGCGAGTTTCAAGAGTGCCGAGGTCTCCATCAGAAACTCCCAAGTTCTAGCACCGACTGGTTCTAATGATGGCTCCACTGTGACCCTTACTAGTCTCAAAGCGTAAGTCTGGCAGATGCTGGCTACACCACGGGATCTTCTAGAGCTCTAGGGCTGAGAAGCAGTTTGAACACAGAGGCTCAGCCCCACAGGGTCTGGAATCTGCCACGGGCAGGGAGCCTCTGCTCAAAGTGAGCTGGGGCTGCATACCAATCTCATCTCTTCTTGGCATGTGGTATCAGACCCCTTCTTAGAAAAACCCAGTCCTTTCTATTTACGGATATCATTGGGGCAGATTGGGTAGCTGGATATCCGAAACCCACCTCTGAAGATAATGATGCTTTGGGGGAAGAGGGCCATACTGAGCAGTGGCTGCATTTCATGTTTTCACCAAGATAAAGCCAGTCTGGAAAGCAGTTGTGGCAAATTTTAGAGTAAGAGACGACATGAAACAAACTGGGGCTAACACTACAAAGACAGAGCTCCTCTTTTTAGCTGATCAACAGAAACACAGGGCACAACATCTCTCTGCCCTCTGTTGTGTAACATGAGAATCTGTTCCAGTGCTCCATCAGGAGAAACTGGGAAAACAAATGCTCAAGCTTGTCTGTATTCATACTATTTCTGAAATATTAACCTCCACAGCTGTAAGCCAGTCAGATATTAATTAGAAAAAAGAAAAACAGGAAAGAAGAATGTAGTAATTTAACCTGACCTTGATTTCTACGCCTTAGTTAATTATCTGTGAAATGGAGTATCATTATTTATCTGTTTTACAGGGATCTAACAATGGCACATCAATGAAAAAGACATTGATCAATCCCAAAGAAAAGCCTCAAATGCAGTTAAGCTTTATAATGAAGACTCTTTGTACAAGTATTTATACCTCCTCTTTTAAAGATGTTTTTGACTGAGAATTCAAAGCTAAACTGCTGGCCGAAAGGCTTTGGGGATAAAAATCGGTTAGTGTTTAATCTCTCAGGTACAGGTCTAGTGTTTTACTTCGTAGTGTAAAGAAAATGTATGTCATTTGAACTGATTTTTATACACATATACTTCATTATACAGTAACCATGAAAAATTAGGCTTACGTTTAGATCATATAGTCTCTGTCTGCCCAAAAAGAGATTTTTCCATTTTTTTGAAAATGTAGTTAGCCAAGCAAGCTTAGAACACTAATGCCTTGTAAAACCTTTGACTGATTAGATGGGGACTGAATGATAAATGAGACTATCTCAGCAGTGACCTGTTGTTATATCACAGCTGCAAGGACTGCAGCTTCCAAGTTTACCTTTGTCAACATGATGTAACATTTAAACTTTTGGACTCACACATGTCTTCATTTAGCCAACAGCATGAAAAAAATAGAAACCTGTATAAGCAGATATTCTACAGCATTAGTCCCCAAACAACAGCATCTAAATTGCAGTTGGACAAAAGGCTTAACAGAGTTATGGATTAAGAAATCTTTCTTTAAAAGTCACACTCAGCTGTATCTACAGATTAACTACCCACTACAGTCTTTCCTACTTTTGAAACGTGTATGTGTACGTGTTGTGTGCGCTCTCAAAACGTCTGTAGGAGTTACATGAAGTTTTGTGAATTTGGGGCATAAGTCTACAGGTACTTGTAACCCATTTCTGATTTGTCCATGAAACATCTTATAATCATAATCCTGGATTAAATATGATTCTAGCATCTTCAGAATTCATTACGGAATACAACCTTTGCTAAAGAGCTGCCCTGCAGAAACTAATTTCCCATATTTTTTAGAGCTAGGAACATAATTCTTCATGAGCTAAGGCCAATCCCCTGCAACCCCAGCTGACCATGGGACAGATATTGTTCCAAAGGGTATATTGAACACCCTTCCCACCCATCACACATACCACAAGCTATTTCTTTACATCCCAGGCTATTTCTTTACTCTCACGCCAAATGGAGGCTCCCAGCTCTTGCAGCTCTCAAGATTATTTTCAAATCTCATCTCATGCACAAAACCAATTTTCCACTGACATCTGTAAACAACTTGCTTGAAATCATAGCTTTGAATTCTCCACCATTCCCATTCACGTCACAAGAATTCATTCATCTAGGGTCAGTGCCACGGACAATAGCGGCTGTGTAGGTAGTATAACAGCACAAGCTTCCTGGTATATCCACCCCTACTTCTGGCAGTCTGAATCTAAAGGTCCTTCGGACCCAGAAAATATGTCCATTTAAGAGCAATTAATTGGTTTTTCTTTGACTCATTTAATTTGCTTTTGGATTTGAATATACTTCCAGCAGTATATCGTAGCAACGAATTCCTGAGCCTAATCACACATTGCATGAAAACAATTCCCACTGCTTTAAATTTTCTGCCAGATAATTCAGTGTGCCATAAAGCTGGTGCCAAAGGAACTTGTGAACGTCCACTCCCTAATTACTTTTTTTTCCCCATGCATTTCATGATGCTACAGAGATCTGTTATAAGCTTGTATTCAATCGTTTCTTTTCTGTACTGAAGAGCTGATCTCCACTGAAGAGTCTATTTAATTGGTTCTCATCTGGAAACTACTTTGTATCTCTAACATGCCTCACTACTTTTTTCCACCAAATTTTACTGCTTCTAATACCACCCTGCCTGAACTGGAAGGACTAGAACTGAAGGAGCACATACAAAAAACATTTATATTTTTGCATAGCATGTTTTCTGCTTTGTTTTCCACTTCATTCCTAGGGCTGTTATTACCTTTTTGATAGCTACTAAACATTCACAGAACTATCTTAAATGACTCCAAGAGCTCCTTCCTGAGTGCTAATTTAAAGTTTAGCAGAGCATGATACCAGCCTAATAATGATAATATAAATATCAATTAAAAGTTAATTAGCAGCATTAAATGCTAATGTGCTTTTCTGTATCAGCTTTACTTAGAAGGAAGCAAAAAAACTTCAGATTGCCTAGCTTCATATTGAAATGCATTGCAGAGCTAACAGGCGGAGTATTCTGCCACGTCTCTCAAGTGCAGGTAAATCCCTGCTGAATGAGTAGGAGGAAAACAGAGTAAGAAACCCCTCAGTTAAACAGAACCCCCTAAATTAGACAGAGACACATTGAGTGGATCAGTCAGTTATGACAGAGAACAGTCTCACTGTTTTCACTGCCTGCTGGACCTTATCGATGTGGATGACAGTGTGATTACACAACTGCTGTAAAGGAATATTCATTAAAACTCTTACTTAATATTCACATGGAATTATATTGTCTTTAAATCCATTTGCTAGCAGAGAGGGCACAGAGAGACTTATACCACGTTCCACGTGCCCAAAGAGAACTGTGCTGGTTATCTAGCACTATCTTTGATGTAGGGTCTCCACAGTAACACTGCAGTCCAGAAAAGCTACTTACAAGGGAAAAGACATTGTTGCTCTTTAGCTTGCACGGACTCACTCCTGACATCAGATGAAGCTACATTAATCTTGACGCTGTCTACAGAGCAAAGTGCAGTGGAAGTTTCACTGCCATGAGGGGTTTGACCACAGGATGACGACTGTCTGCTAAGCTGAGAGATACCCGGTGTTGACGTCTTGCTTATCTTCCTGCTAAGTAGACTGTATTGTGCTCGCCAGGTGCCTTTCTGTACACGGAAGAAAAAAATGAATAGAAATTCAACAACCAAGAATGATAATTCTGTAATTAATTCCAACATTGGATCCTTCTGGTCCTCCCATTAAACTCACAGATTTTTATCCAGTTACTACAAACTAGTGATTTCTTGAGTAGAACCTTCTTCATTTTGTTATCTTTCTTCAGTACTCTTCTGCTGTAGCATTAATGCCACCAGATTAAGCTAATTCATAATTGAATAACACTGCAGATGCCAAGAGGATTGCTAGTAGAGCAACCTTCTCAAGTACAGGGAAAAATAGGTCAAAGCACTCTGATAAATGTTCAGGTCTCCCCCCACCATCGAATAAGTTGGCAAATTAATTTCCTGTGTCAGGAATATAAAACTGAAGTCTGAAAGCAGACCTATTTCTGCAGGCATGATAATCAGAACAATGTGTATTACAAAGCAACTGCCCCTGAAGGAACCCAATATTTCAATCAGAAGTTTCATATCTAATGTGAAAAGCAGCCTTCAAGTAATACCAGCTTAAATGGCAGAAAGGAAATTGTCATTAACTCAAGGAGGAAAAAAAAATTAAAAAAATCTCAACAATGTAAATGCTAAAAGACACATCAAGACTGACAGGCATTTTGGTTTCTTCTGCTCACATTCATTTGGACCTGACTTTAGAGAACTGGTAAGACTGTATGGGAAAATCAGAAAGCCTCATACTCAACAACTCTGACTTGCTGACTTTTCCCCTCTGTTTGCCAACAAAAGGAAGAATATTTGCATAAACCCACAATCTTTTAAAAGTTTCACAACTTTTTCTGCATATTCTCCAACAGAAATCATAATCTTCTATTGAACCATTTTAATTGTTATGTCACAAGTGTACGAGCTGCAGGTGCTGACAAATAACAAGAGCAGATAGCTTGCAGGTAACAACAGCTCATATTTCTAAGTGTGTCTCATCTGGGATTCTAAAAGCACTTCACAAAACTTAGCTTAGCCTTACAGGGTGTAAAGCAAAAAAACTAAAAGCTTATGCAAACTGCTGAAGATCAAACTGTAAGACATGTTACAGAGTGAGAAACACCCTGGTTCTTCACTGGGTTCTCCTAATTATACTCCTAAGCATCACCCATTCCCCTTTCATTTTCCTCCAGTTACCTCAGCAGTTTCAAAAAGAAAAGTCTGTCTTTGGTTTTAGAAAGATAGTAAGCCAGCTATCAAGTGTTACAGATAATTTTCTACTGTTTAATTTCCTCTCAGGTATTAACTTTATTTTTTTTAAAAAGACTTGAATCTCAAATGCTCATTTTCTCCTTTCCTCAGCATTGCACTGAATGTAGCAGGTGAATCTTATTTTCTTTAAAGGTCTCAACATTTGGAATTTGTTTCTGAATTTAGCTTTAAGTTCTGTGTAAAAAGGCAACCACACAATTCAGGACTAGGACTTAATAGAATGAGGCGTCCAGTAAACCAGTCCAAAATCCCCATTTGAGTGAAAAAGACCTATCCGTGTGAAGAAGTACTGCTGCATGACTCTGAGTCATAAAAAAGAGGGCAAATGCAAACAAGACACTAGTTATGTTTTAGCCGAATATTTAATTCTTTCCACATCAGTACGTACCACTAAGACCAAGCCTCAGTTTCAACCAGCTCCATATTGCTCTTCCTATTATCTAGTATCAAGTTGTTATTTTTCAAAACCTAGAGAGACAAGTACTCTGCAGTCACGAGATCCAGAGCATAAGATGTGGTATCATGTAGTTCAGTTAAGCAACATAACAAATGCTTGAAAAGCTCAATTAGGTCCCAAGAAAGAAATTAACAATGCAGTTACCTTTTTGTTAGTTGTGAAAAACTCCCACATGTATGTTGCTAACTTTTCCTCTTCTATTTCTTTTGCTGTTTTTTTACAACCACCAGGGTCCCTAAGTGAAAACAATTCGATTAGTTTTTCATTTTGAGAGTCTTGCTTTTATAGTAAATTCTTTTTAAAAATGCTCTAAACAGAGAGTAAACGGTGTGAGACTGCTACTACAGCGTACATCTTTGCTTATAAGAAATGGAAGGACAACACAAGCGTATAAGCCGTAAGGTACAGCCACAAGTGAAAAAGAACCTAAAGAAAGTTTGTAGAACGACTGAGCTATCATGCACCTACTGGGCCAGATTACGCTCTCAGCTTCCTATATTAAAGTATTGAAGAATTTTGCCCAGTTTAGCAAGATTTCATGGATAGAAATGACAGCACGTTCATACAGATTTAATTTTTCCATGCTGTTGACTATATGAAGACCTGTATTAGTCGAGAAGTTAAATGTTACATCATGTTGACAAAGGTAAATTTGGAAGCTGCAGTCCTTGCAGCTGTGGTATAACAACAGGTCACTGCTGAGATAGTCTCATTTATCATTCAGTCCCCATCTAATCAGTCAAAGGTTTTACAAGGCATTAGTGTTCTAAACTTGCTTGCTTAACCACACTAAAAAAAAAAAAAAAATCTCTTTCTGGGCAGACAGAGGCTACATGATCTAAAGGTAAGCCTAATTTTTCCCAGTTACTGTGTAATGAATTATGTGTGTACACAAATCAGTTCAAACGACATTGAGGGAAAGGAGTCATCTATCAACTGACGTCATCCGCCTGGACTTGCGCAAAGCATTTCTCTCTGTCCCACATGACATCCTTAACTCTAAATTGGAGAGACATGGATTCGATGGATGGACCACTCAGTGGCCAAAGTGACTTAACTGTTTCTTTATCCCAGTCTATCAGCTGATCCTCTATGTAAAGGGGTGAAAATCCATCCACGATACCTTCTGGAGTGACACTCTCCCTCCAATTTAGCAGGCTAATTCTGTATAATGGTTCTCTGTCACCTCTGTTATACAATAGGCTCATATGTATATTCTATATAAATATGTGAACATACACACATCCTCTTTACTGAGAATGTACAGGGAAAACGGAACAGCTTTGACTCTTCCCTGCAACTCGGAGCATAAGCTGTTCACTATTTTACCAAACACTCACGAATATTTTAAATAAATCTTATGTCAACATGAGTGTGTTGACTAAAAATGTTAGGAACTTTAATTAATGTTTACTTCCAGCAGCACAAAGGTTGAGAAGTAACACATGTTTTACAAGTATCCATCATTGTCATACATAATTGATAGAATAAAACCAGCTAGTAAACATCACTTAATAGCTGGCTTTGTTCTGTAATTACAGTGCATATGGAACTTCTTGTTGAGTTCACCGGGATAAGGCTCCAAGGGAAGGCTATAGGTATATACATACATCTATTACTATATGTATTTAATTTGCATAGTTATTAACCAAAAGAGAAAAAGGAAAGAAAACAACTAAATTTGGCTGGGATAGCTCAGTATTTTCCTCTAGTTCTGCAGCGTGCAATAATAAAGGACCGTGCTGTGCTACTGCTTCAACTCCCTGCTGACTGCATGGGGGCAAAGTCAATGCAAAATTAATGTTGCACGGCACAGAATTAAAAACATTTTGCTCAAATAGCTATTACTTGAAAGAAGAGAAACAACAACATATAAAGGCCAAAAGATCCCAAACTCCAGTTACTACCATGCACTGCACACATACGCTGGATTCCAGCAGGTTAGTATAGAACGCATCGAACCGATGGAGTCAAGAGTCAAAGCTTCCAAAAGCCAGTGTATGGCACAGAGCTGCTGGAAAAGGTGTTCGCTGCAAAGAGGAGAAACAAGCGCGTTACACTGTAGGGCCAGGGGAACAAACCGGCATCATGTTCCTTGAAACAGATACATCTAAGCCTTTCTGTACTGGACAATTTTTTCCACTGTCTCAGTGAACTCTAGACACCTCTCAAGTTTTTGTGATGTTGATAGGTAACTCTGAATCCTGAAAGCACCTTTTTGGACATGTAATTTTCAATGAACGTATCTTGGTGACATGCTCAGTGTTTTCAAACCTATGAGGATTCCAGAATTTATCCCTTCATTGTATAGATTCTTACAATTTTTGCTTTCTAAATTTTGCACTTAAGAAAAAGCAGTGTGTGAGTTGGGTCCATCTTCTTCTGAACCAAGATTATCTTTGGCATTTTAGCCTATTCCACACACAAATGTAAATATACACAGACACTTTTCGTGATTAACTGGGTTAATGAACTTAAAACAGGACAGTGTGTATCAGGGATCAAAACAAAATATATAAACCTGTCTTCTTCCTCTCTCTTCTGTAGGTCTACTTTTTTTAAGTAGACAAATTAAAATTTAATTTTGACAGTATTTTCTTAATACGAACCTAATCTTGAACACTATAGCATGGAAGAAAGATTTTATGCAACTTAGAATGTTATTCATTTCCTACCACAGGAGAGCAGGACATAACACATACCTTTTTGCTCCAGCAGGGTTTAGAATCAAGACACTGGTATAAACAGGAGCAAAAGACCGTAAGTTCATCTTTTTTTTCTTCTTCAGGTGGCTGCCTTGTGCGAGAGAGCAACTGTGGGAAAGGACAGACTGAATTTAAAAGAGCAGAATGTGAGATGAAGACATTGCCAATAAAACTGTTTATTGTGTTCACATTACCACACTCCCTCTTCTGCTCCTTACATTAAAATAACAATTTGTAAATTGTTATTTACTGCATTTATTATCCTTTATTAAGATTACAAACCTGATACTTGTGTTTACCAGAATATAAAATTATTATTTATTTCTAATATGTTTAGAGTACTTAATAAATTATGAATATGGTACTATTTGTATTTACATATTAATACTACTACTCATTATTAGCAATTACACATTTATGCAAAATCAGATTTGGGAGCAGATGAGAAAACATGACTGATCTGTTCAAGACAAGATGCTGAGATATTGCTTACATTCCATTACACTTGTTTTCTGTTGGTATCATCCCAACAGCACCAGTGGGGTTATATGCACACGAGGCCAAAGTTTCAAGACGTGCCTTTAAAATTCTGTTCAATTTTTCCTGGGTTAACATACTGTGCACACAGAAAACTTATGGTTAAGTTGAATTAAGTTCAATAGCTTCACCTCAATTAAAAAGAATCTTGAGTTCTGGCCAAACCAATGTTTGGCCATTTACACCTGTGCAAAGTGTTAACAAAACGCTATCAAGTGAGAAAAGGAAATATTTATAGCTCTTTTTTTCCCCACATGTACGTAACTAACTGTACCTGATTTTCGACAATGGAAGTTTAATAAGCACAGTGAGATCCTGTAGCCTTCGTACGTCAACAGTACGCAGAAGGCTATTGGATGCTGACTCATAAATTAAGAGAAAACTGAAACAATACTGCTCATAAAAACATAGCTGAGAGTAACTGAGATTCGAGTGGTGGTCTGGTATACTCAGCACCAGTAAGAGCTTTTTTACTGCTAGGAGAAGGCATACCTAAATCAAGATTATTTTGCCTATGCAGATACATCTTCTTAAAGGAAATGGGAATGTTAAATCTTTTTAGGTCAGCCTTGCTGCAGAAACAAGCCTTTCCTTACAGAAGAGAATAAATTACTTCAATAATCTGATTGGCCACAGCAATAAAGGCAATGTATTTTTCATGTACGTAACAAATTATGTCTGCAAGAAATGTGGATTAGCCGAGTTACAGGTAGATAGAACAGTTACATAGGAAAAGAATAATAATCACAAAAAGCTTTAATAATTCACAAAAAGCTTTAAGGAAGGTTCTCATGTATTTTTTTAAAATTAATTTTATTTAGCTGAAACGTTTGTGTAGCCTTCACTAGCTTAAGATGCAAGTGCTTCATAGCAAGATTTAAATAATACAGCTGTAGGTGACGTTTTTAAGGTGACGAGTTTAAGTAAGGAGAAAGTTTTAGATGATGCAGACATTAAGGGTTAAGATTCCAAAATACTCTGACTAGTACCCTATACCTTCTGCACTTCTATAACACTATCTCAGTAATACTCTATTCCTTTTCCACCTCTCCTAGCTATTCAGTTAGTGACTATTTAGAATGCTAGACATTAAATGTTACTCTAGTAAGTATGACATTTTTCTGTTCAGAATCTTTCAGTCTGTCTGTACTACTTGTTCACTTTCTGGTCTGAGTTTCATACTAACAGGAAAGATGTTTATTTCTTAATTTTTAATAGTGGTTACATATTGTTGTCTCACTTTTGACTAGGGTGTGATGGCATCTCAGATAAGTCCAGAGGCTCAGTTTTTCAAATTGAGTCAGTTGATGGAAGAAAGGTGAGTGAGAGAAAGCTGGTACCTCTGAGTCCCAAAAGCTACAGCAAACTAATCAGAAAAGACTGTTATCGAGATGGATGAGCTTTTGATACAATAAGGCTCCAAAGGCGTGTAACTTCTAGAAGAGCTATTCTGTCCTGCTGAGCAAGTATTTAATCATCTCATCACCTAGGGAGGGCTGACAAATGGAGAACAACTGCAGCATTATAACAGGCATTAGAGGTGCACCGAAAAGACCAGCATGAGCCAAAGGACTGAAAACTATCCAGTGGCCAAATGGAGAGAAAACCTGAAGAGGGTATCAAAATAGGTCTGAACTAGTGAAGAAACCCACTCTGAAAGCTAAACCACTTATTCTGCTGAATGCAGTTCTTTTTTATTCTTAATGTCGTGGTCCCACTGTGGGAACAAAAGCAGGGCACACCTCACCGGGCTCCTCCATTTCTCCTCAAAGATTCAGTTCTGAGTAGGCTATGACACCTTCTTTTTAAAGAGCACCTCAAGCACTTTTTCCCATGCTTGATAAGTTTACAGGTGTTCACTTACCTGGATTTTAAGCATTTTCTCTCTCTAGCTCACACAAGGCGTAAAATTCTCCCTCAATACCAAATAATCACAAAAACTGGAAATTGTCGCTTTTTAAAACCACTGCCCTCATATCACTGAAAGCCCTCTGAGTTGACTTACTTGTTTATTTCTTCCTCTGACTCTTCATCTGAGGAGTTTTTGGATGGCTGAAACTCAGTTGTCCATCTCATGCCCCGAGTCTTCTGGGCTGCTTTCTTCCTCTCCAGTGATTCTTGGTGTAGTATATGAAAGTAATCTCCACCTCGCTTCACGGAATTGATATGATGCCTGCCAAAGTTCAGCACAAGTTGGTCAGTGTACTATGGACACACTATCAAATCATGCCCATCAACTTAATTTTTAACAGAGACTTCACACTCTTCTATATTCAAAAGTTCAATACTCTTATTTCCTTCTGCAATGTGATAATAAAGGACAACAATTCCCCAATATGAACTAGGAGATTTTCCCTTATCCCTTTTGGCATCACACAGGTTAAAAATTGGATGTCTTGAACTAGGCATCACTTTGTCCACTACTTGATTTAAAAATTCTCTGCCTAGTTCTAATGTAGAGCAGCCAGTTGACCACTGGACCCTTCACTGTCTTAATTCAGTTGTCACAGTGTGACAGGCGCTGCCCTGAAGCTACCTGTTAGCTGCTAAATTCCGCTTCCTGTCAGAAGGCTGCATTGTTAGTAACAGCAAAGGTGCCAGTGACACCTGGGAGTGAGCTGAAGACGACAGGAAGGATATTAGTGCAAGAGAAGAAAACGAAGAAGAAACCATAATGCACTCCCTGTAGGATGACAACAAAGGCTAAAAAAAAATTTAAAAAAACAAACAAGAAAAAAACCCAAAAGCTATAGCCTTTGATTAAAACGTTAGTGAGAAGGTAGCAGCCAATCCAAGTCAGACAAGCACACTATTCCGGCACAGGATGCACCCCTTTTAGTTAATGTGTGGCTGACTCGAATCAAGTGGCATTCGGATGTATTGATTCTTTCAAACACAATCAAGGCTTGAAAGCTGGGCCTCATTTGTTTTACTGACAAGTAATAACTCCCTTTTCTTACCAGACACACATTAAAGCATCTGAAGGTCACATAGGGTGAAAGTTTCAGGCACCAAATTCACTAGTCTCAAGGGGAGCCGTTTACCCTCTCTTTGCATCCTGTGATGAAAAACCACTTGCAATATTTAATGATTTGGGGATTGCGATTTTGCTTTTGTTGTCATCATTTTTTAAGTCCAGCAACTATAAATACCATCTAGGAAACATTTCCAGTTCAGGTAGATAACCTGTCTGTTAGGTATTTCAATATTAACTTTGAAAAAAAAATTAAGAAGATGTATCTGATAAGAAATACTGCATGCTTTAGAAAAACAAGGATTTCAAAGTCACATGAGACTGGCTTAATGTTTTTAATAGGAATCTAGACTTTGCATAACAGACTTCTGGAACACTATGAAAACATTTAATGGCTTTATGTCCTCTTCCAGTAGTTTTCTCTCTCTCCTTTCTGACAACTGTAAAGACATTTGCATGTAAAAATACTTTCCCTTTCATAGTGCTCTTTCTGTATTTCTGCAAGCCCTAATTTAAGCATTCCTTCCGAAAAATCAAACCCTCCGCTGTAGCTGTAGTATGATAATGCCACAAAAAGTGAACAATAAGGTCATTACATGAATCAAAAACAAGTGGTAGAGAAAGATAATAATAAAGCAGAAAACTCTTTTGTACTAACAGCCATAACCAGTATTATTAGAGAAGGATGCATTACTGGCAAGTACAATTAGTACTTCTTTTAGGTTTATCTAATACAGAAGGCTTTAACATGCATATAACCAAAATCTATGATCACTCTCATACACCTATAGGAATAGAAAACATTATGCACACTCGTGAACAAATATTTTTAGTCTATGACTTGCTGGAAGTCCCAGGTATTACAAAAAGTAGGTCTTCAGTCTCCAAGAAGAAAAAAATATAATAGAATTAACAAAAATGCAACATATAAAAAACCCTGTAATAAATACCCAATTTAAAGAAAATAATTGTCTCATAATTCCATAGAATTATTTCTGCCATATTTAAGAATAACCTTTAGGGTTACGGACTCTTTTCAGGAAAACAGTAAAATCAATCTAAACTGAAAATACAGAGGTGACCAGTGTACCTTTCTACATTGTGGATAAATGGTGTATTGCTGGAATAGAATAGCAAATATTCCTCCATTTAAATTCTGGCATCACAATAACCTGTTCATACAATAACTTAATAAATTTTGCTGGATTATTTGTCTGGTATATGAGAATCATTCTTCAAAAGGCAAACGTAATAGAGGTGAACTTTTGAATTCATTTATTAAAGTAATTCAGCTTCATCAGTCCATTGTAGTCGCAACACAGATTTTCAATTGCCATTCAGATAAAAGGATTCTCTTACTTTTCTAAGTAAATACCTTTATCAACATGAAAATTCAAATGAGTTTCTTGAGCAGCAATAATGTACCATGGAATACTTCAAGTTTTCTCCACAGGAGTGTATTATTATACAAAGGAGTGACCCAGTAGCATACCACACAAACAGAAGCATATTTTTAGTACGTAGTGTAACTATGCACTCATTAAATTATTCTTTAAATCCTTTAGGGACTCAGGGTCATCAGTTAATGGTAATACAAGGCCATTAAGGTATTGGGGAGTTGAACTTTTGCTGCTAAGATCTGAGACTCCTGGTGTTTTTCTTTGAGTGAGAAATTATTCACAAAAATAAAAGGAAATTATAAATTTCTCTTAGTTATAACTTAAGTGCTAGAAAAACATTAAGAAGCTATAATAATAATATCAGAAACTTTTGCATCAGTGTAAAGACAAGCTACTTTTTACCTTCTCTTTAGGTACAGCTTATTTAAGTACATTGGGTCACCTTTGCTAAATTCAAAACAATCACAGTAAGGATGTATTTGTCCCAGATCAAATTTCACAGTCAACAGCCTCACATCTACTTTGTAAATAAACAAATTCAGTGGGAGATGGCTTACTAAAGGAATGACGCACAGTCCCAAATATGTGATGTCAAACCCTTGCTCAGGTGACCTGGTGTAACTCCAGCCTGAACTGGAGAAGGACTAGAAAGACGGGCAGAAGGCTGCACACCCATGTGGCTGCACCTCAGCACGTCATCTGCATCCAACACAGCGGGTGCTCTTACTCGGGTGCTTCAGTCCTGTCCAGAATTGTTAGCCACTGCTTCATAAAACAGCTCATTCAATTTTCCTGTCTTAACGGATACAGCCTTTATACCAACAGATCTAATGACAGAACATCCCCTGCTTCAGATGCTGTACAGAAAGAATTTAGCCTTTCCAGAGGCTTTGAGCCAATTGCAAATATAAATGAAACCAACATGGCATTGCTCTGAAAGCCCCTGGGAGCGCAGGCTTTCTAATGCCACTTCCTGTATTTTCATAAAAGCATTTCACATTTCAATCTGCATCTGCAACAGCTCCCTACTAGACCAGTAAAAGCTCCTGTTTGGGCACAAGGCCAGACCCTCCCGAGGGTGCTGCACGGTGAGTATCAGCTGGGGGCTGCCGAACTCCTTGCACTACTGACAAACTGAATGCGAGCTAAGCCTTCCCAGGTGAAAAGCAAGTACAATGTAATGCATGTTGCCACTTAAAGCACTTTGAGAAATTACTTTCTAGAGCAGAAAAAGTAACACAAACAAAAATGTATGTATAAAACAGAAAGCACAGGAGGCGGCGACTTCAAAACTACACTAAATACAGTTAAACTGTATTCTGAACATTACAGACTGAAACCATGGATTAAACCACAGTATAATTATTCTAAATGAACACTTAGCATTATTTGCAGCCATGCCATCATGAGCTGTGATCCTACCACAAGTCTCAAATGAGGCTGATGAGTACTTGGAACCTGAAGAATTCAAAGAAATACCTACTGAAGGAAATGGTGAGTGCAGCAAGCTTGCTTCACTTGGATTAAATTAATTTTAGGGGGCATTGTGGTACCTGGCAGCTCTGTCCCTTTTTTTTTTTTTTGAATGTGTAGTAAAATGGAAGTTGTGACAACCTGAAGTTGTTAAGGATCCTATGGTAATCTCTGCAGGAGCACAACTGTCAACACCTGCATTCTCATCAGATTTCAACTGATTAAATGTTTCTTGTCCTCACTGCTGTTTTGGCTGGAATAGGACACTTTTCTAGTTTTAATCATTCCACTTCCCCAAAATAATATGTTGTGTGTACGTGCATGAACACACATCACACTCCATTTGAGCTGCCACTGCATTCTAATAGCTGCAGTAATTCTTACATGTCACTTAACTTTCTGACAAGGTGCTGTGACACCTAAATAGCTAATAATTGTAAACCAGCAGGAACTGCCAAGATAAAATGGAATCCATATGCACACAGTGCCCTTCTTATTTACAAAAAACACAGAGAACAATAGAAGAGCAAACTCTGCATTTCTTGTAAATTGTCAGCAGTGATACTGATTTATACCAGTGGAGAATCTGTTCCATTCTCTTATCAGTAAATAAGCTGCTATTTCACTCCGCTCTTTAGTACCTTACGGTCAGCGCTGTAATTTATGCCGGTATGTGACAAATTTATGTACAATAAGACTGTTTTACACATTTCCCAAGCGCTGCAAGGAGGTCTCACTGAAAATGAGAATTGGTGCCTTGCTCGCTTAAAATATACTCAACAAGTTATTAGACAGTGCATACACCACTCACCTTCTGAAATGAGAAAATTAAGTTTACATACCTGGTGGTGAGCCTGAGCTAGCAAGTCCTACCATTGAGCTCCACACTGGGTCATATCTTGAAACCTTGGCCCATGGACAAGAAAAACCTTGCAACTATTCAAAACTAATACACAGATTCTAAAGTAAATTAATTACAAATTCTGTTTTGGTAGTGTTTACAGACAAATTAGAGATGCAAATGTATATACATGACACAACAGAGAATCAGGAACACATGGGTTACTACTCCTATTTAACAGCTGAGTAATTACACAGCAAGAATCAAATGGGTAAATATTCACACATCTAGTCTTAAATTCAGTGAAGGCCAGATAACGACATTAAAACCTACTAAGTGTAGTTACCAACCCATAGAAACTCAGACATACGTGATTATTTCCCATACTAAACTATCAACCATTCTGGCAAGGAACTAAAGGAGTACCATAGCAACATCTGTCTAGAGCAGCTGAAGACATATAAACAATCTGGAATATCCACATTATTTCAGATCCAGATTCTCATTTGATTCTCCTGCAAATGGGTGTAATATCCTGTACTCAGATGCCTCTGTTTAAAAAAAACAAACCCAAGAGATGCTTAATGGGAAAGATGCATGTTATCACATGAAAATTTCACTATGAAGTAAGTAAAGACACAAGTAAAGTTAAAATTAGACACAAGTAAATTTGTGGTATGTTCATAGAAGGTTGTGCAGCAGGAAACAAGGATCTTCAATAGTCAAAACACTCTCCCACACAATTATAAAAGATGTCACCAGGTGAATATATTAATGTATTACCACATATTTAAAGATGTCTGAGTGGTTTTCCATTAACTACAAAGTTGCTTCCACTGCGAAATGAGGCAGAACCTCTACTTTGAAAATGAGGGAAGGTTCTCTACCACGGAGAAGCACCAACATTTTTGGCTACCTGGAGGTATGAAAAAATAACATACCAAAAGCCTGCCTTATTTTTAGTTGGAAATGAGTTCTCCTCAACTTTTAGTGTAGGGCAGCAATTTCTCTTTTAAGAAGACCCAGAAGACAAGAATATGGCACACACCCACCCCCCTCCACTTGTACCATGCTCTAACTCCCATTCCTGTTGATCTTCATATAAAAGTTTTCTTGGGGGTAAGCACATTCAGTTTTCTAGCTCTTGGTGTCTTTGGAGAAGTATATTAACAAAGATGAGTAGGTGAATTCCTCCCAGAGCAGCACAGAGAAGACAGCTTTGTACTGATAAAGGGCAGAAAACAAACTCTGAGATTTCAAGGCTTTGCTTTAAATTCTTTTCCAAAAAGCTATGGGGAAACTATTAGTAAAACTTCAACAAAAAATCTTCTGGAGATGCCTGGGATTTCCAGTTTCTTGTTGTAAGAACATGCAATAATTACTTCATGTTCATGTCACTGCTTGTTAAGTGGAATTTCGCTGAGGTTCCCTGATCCTCTCCCAAAAAATCTGGCTGGTTCAAAATTTTCATGTGACAGTACAAACCACTCCTTGTGATCTAGTGTCTTGCCTTACCACATAGAGGAATTTAGAAAGCAATGACATTTTACTACTAAACAACAAAAAAAACCATTTTAAGTGTTAGCTTTGTTCAAAGGTTCAGTGACAACATGTCATTTTGTATCATAATACATGGAATTAGGTTGTTATGTTTAGATAGATAGTAAAAATCTAATAAGCAATAAACCATTCCCACTTATGAAATTTCAAATATAATTATTTATCTTTGCACAAAAGGAAAGGAGATTGAGACCAAAATGAACAGCCTGGGAAGGCAGAAACGATGATGGGAATTGCAGTCTTTCTGGTGATGGATAAGAAAGACAATGATTCATACATCCCTACACTTAAACGGTTGTCCTTGCCCATGACTGCTGTCTAATTAATGTGAGCCATCATTCACGTAAAAGAAAATTTTTGCTTCCGGAAAAAAAATAAAAATGCTGCAAACTGCCAGCAGTGACAGTGTAGAAACATGCCAATTAGAGTGATTACTGCCAAGCAGCAAAAGGGCCCAAAACACTGGTTTCCAAGCAACTGACATTATGAAGTATTAAATACACTGGAAACTAATATTGGCAGATAAACATTTCACCTTCTCAGTTAGTACTGCCTCAGTCTCTTCTTTGCTTAACTCCATGTTGCCTCTCCTCCCTATGTTCCAGAAAACCATATGCGTTAAAGAATGCCAACTTCTCTTAATCTCTAAACCCTTTCATCTTTTGGGTCTGCATGTGTCAGAATAGGACCAGGTAAGGACAGAGATGATCATAACCCAAACTCCAAAACCAACATGTTTCTTGCCATTTAAAATCTTCTGTTCGTAGCTGCTATTTCAATCACAAAATTTAAATGGTTTTATATTAAAGTCAGCTGCACAGCCACTAGAAGGAAAAGAAGGAGGAGAAAGTGCTCTTCAGGTGACAGTCTAACTTGTTGCAGGCATAAAGAATGCATTAGTAGAGCCTGGGCTTTCTGCATGCAGAGCGACTTTGAGAGATCTGCCTTCAGGAAACTTGAACCATTTGAAAGAGCCAACCAGTTTCTAATTTAAAACATAAAAAGCAGCCAGTTGAACACTGTTAAACTGCCAGCAGTTTGACATTTAGCTTTATTTAACTAGCCCAGCACAGTGAAACAGACGGGAGCCATTTCCTTCAAGTGGGAAATGCAGGGCAGAGGCGTAGCACACCCTTTTGGAAAGTAAAGGCTGGACTGGCTCATGGGATGGCACTGACACTTTCCCTTTGAGCCTGCAGCTCAAATCTGTGGATTCGTTACCTGAGGATGATCACAACTTGTCATTTTTACATGTGCACCTATGCTTAGATGACCAACACTGCACAGCTTCCAGTTTCTATCACCTTTATTCCCTTCTTTTTACACAAAGGAATTATCTTCTGCTAGTATTTTTGAAGCAATATGCTTATTTTTAAGAGCTATTTTTTGTGGCTATTTTTTATAAAAGTATTTCCAGTACACGCACATGGTCTTAGCACCCTGAGTTAGTCTACAGAAGTGATTTATGGCAACCTGCTTTTATTATAGATTAAAACCTACAAGGGGTTCCAGTGCTTTGGTAATCTCTTTTACTGTGTAACTTGTTGGTAGATCTTTCTGCAATTTATTAGTTATAAAGACTTCTACTTTCTTGGTTCTCATAAAATAATGCATCCTTGTGCAAATGTGGATTATTTAACATTATTTCTGGATCCCATTTACAGATATCATTGGAACAAACAATAAGAGAGGATCTCCCTCAGAGCTGCAAGTCATTTCAAAGAGGCTTGAGTTTGCTTAGTTTCAGTAAGAACAGCCATAGAAATAAAAACACAATTCCTAGTTCAAAGCTAAAGATATTTGAATGCTCAAGGACAAAGGCGGTGTCTCTTCTGCAATACTGTGTTCTACCCACTCAGTTGGACATCAGGAAGTATTTAGCCAAGAGCTTCTTTGTGTCTATAGGTAATCTCCGCTGGAAGGAAGATGTACGGAAGAACAGTTTTTATCTCCGGATTTCCCAATGGTTTTTTAGTTTATGCTGCACAAAGCCATGCAAATTCCTTCCTATATTTCAATGCTGTGTTTAGGTAAAATGGTATCTGAGTGCTGACAGGTGTCTCCCTAAAGTGACTGCACACAACTCATCAATAGGGAAGAGCTGCTACAACCTTCTACTTGGTACTAGTGACGGTAGTTTTGAAAGATGAGTAGCTTGTGCAAGCTCTGTGTTCTGTCATCACCCTCTTCTACATCACCATGAGGACTCAAGAAGGTCTAAGAGAGTATTACTGAGAGGAGGTATGAGGTCATAATTATAAGGTTTATCTTCAGCTTAACTATGTTTTTAATGTGTAAGACAGAATAGTAAAGCTTTGTGAATGCAGCTAAGTCTGTTCCAATAATGACACTTCAAACAATTTGAGATAATTTAAAAATTCATACTGCTGTACTGTATATCAGCATGATCATTAAAAAACTTCCTCACAGTTTGTTCCATTATACTCTTTCATACAAACAAGCTGCAAGATCACAGGCACTACTTCCTGTGAATATGTATCAATTAGCATCCAATTAAGACAACTGCTGGGTGTTCCTTTTCAATCAGGAGGAGGAAAAGCAGCAAAATACAAATCCACAAAGGTCATTTGTATTCACTGACTCCCTGTCGTACGTATTAGCATGCTGCTCTGCTAGCCCGACTGCTTTAATTGAAATTAAAAGTTGCTGCCCTGGAGAAGAAAACTCCAGTTTTCTTCCAATTTCTTGCATTTTCCACTCTACTGCTTTTTCCTACAACAGCTCCTTTTCTACAGTCTGAAATTGTTACTAAAAAGTAATGCTGACATATTCTTTGGTCCAAACCTGCAGAGCAGTCGTTCTCACTTGAAACGATCTTTTCCTGCAGCTTCACATCTCAGCATTTGGTTAAAACATCTGTGGGGCTTGACTTGTATTAAAGTGACCATTGCCTACACAAGAGCAAAAAGGCACATTTCTCCTGAGCGCACTAAGCAGCTTTGATTAATCTCTGACCATGCTGAACTTCTGAGTTTCAAAAACCAAATGTGTGTAAAGGTTTCCTTTACTGTTCAGTAAATGTAAAAAGTAAATTTACACTCGTTTGTGCAGTAGCATAGGATTACATCTTCCCTTTCCTCATCTGTTTCAACTCTCACGGAAACTTGTGGTCGGGATTATTTCCACCCGGGCATTTGAAATCACAGGAAGTTAGTTTTGAATGCAACTGTGAATTAAATTTATGGGACTAGAAGAAGATGGCAGAGTTGGAGATACTTTAACAGGAAGGTATTTTCTTACTTATCAGCACCTTCAAATGCTGTTTGGGATATTAAAGTGCAGTTGGGTTCTTTCCATCTTCCACATCAGCAGTAAAAAGTATTCTGCAAGTCAAATTAGATATTTTAAAACAACTGCACATCATCAGTATCCTCTGTGTGTGTGGCACAGGTACAACTGATCAGGACACATAACACAATTCTGCTCATAATGTCCATAAAGGAACGTAATTTTGTTTGATCTTCTAGCTGTATTAGCTGTTAAAGGTGAGAAGGGATAAAAGACTAAAATCTGGGGGCTTACTCACTCAGAGAAAAGATATGACATCAAAACACATTAGGGTCAAATCTATTCACGTCACTAAAATTCTACATTTACCATAATTTTGCTGATTGCACTACCATTAAGAATTCTGTGGAAGGCAAATCTGCATTTATCGTAGTGTAGGGCAGGAAACAGAAATGTCTTCAGCTAAAAGTAGACTAGACTAAGCACTTCTTCTGTCATAGGGAACAACTGCACTCACCCAGACTAATGGGCTGGATCTCTTAAGAAGCCTTTCTCTGGAGCTTCTACTTTAGTAAGCCAATTGTGAAAACAAATATCAGAGAAACAGAGGCATCCCTGAAGCCTAGAAAAAGAAGGCATTTACTTCCCTGAGACACTCGAGTTCCAACTGTAGCTGTTCCAGTGATAATTAAGCTTACATTCCTAATTTGACTTTCGTAATTTACTTTGGAGAGTAATAATATTTATCCACCTAATACCTAGTAGTGCTGCAGAGATGAATAAGACAATGCTTACATGTACTTGAGTGCTTGGCATTGTAAGGTTTATCAAAACAACATTCCTAAAAGCACAAGATAGTGGAAACAAGATTAAAATTTTTAAAAATAACGTACATGAAAAGGGTAAGAAAAACATGCCCTATCTGTAAAAAAAAGTAAAATATTTTTGCTTTTAGTAAAAAAAGAAATCCTCACTCACAGTCTGCTGTCCATAACAATTTAAAAAGTATGTATTTATGCAGTGAGTTTAGCTCAGATACATTGCCTGGTTTTCAATTCCAGTTTACTTGACAGAGCAGCAGGGGGTCAAGTGATTTGCACAAAGCTACAAGTTAGCTGCTCAGCCAAGAATTAGGATCAATATCTTGACACTTTGTTTATTCAAACTGTAAAATTGTAATGAAATCAGCGGTCGAGCTTGCTTCATCCCAATAGCTACAAATGAGCTTGCTAAGATTTTAAAAAAATCAATCCTTTCAGTACCAATAGCAGCAGTAACTTTCATCCTACAGTACACTGGCAAATATTCTTTGTCCTACCAATTTGAAAATAAAGAATGTAAAGCTACCAAAAGCCGGCTCCAAGCACCTGCAACTCATAGATCAAGAAGTAAACTGATCTTTGGCAGGTTATCATTAAAAGAACTTCCACTTGACCTCAGCAGGACAACTCCACTGAAATTTAGCAGTGAACAGTGAACACAGACAGTCAAACATAACAAACAGAGCATTTATGGCAAAAACAAGTCATGCTTTACTAAATTGGCTTATTTAACCTTTAAAGTACACAGCATTTATTATTTCGTTTATGGTTTATTATTATTTTTGGCCAAGTTCATCAAGTGAAAATTCACTTTTAGTGAATTAAAGTGAATAATAAAAATAATTGGGGGCAGAGAAGGATAAAAGGGAAAAATGTTATCACAACCAAGGAACATAAACTTTAGAAATTGCTCTGATGTAAAAATTTGTGAGTATTTAAAAACACTGTGTTATTATGAAATTTAAAGCTGTGGTTACTCCACGTGTAAAGAAGCTACTTTTCTCCAACTGATTTGAGTTTGATGCAGTTCCAATCTCAGTCAGACAATGCAAGAGCCTAATTTGTCTTTGATATATTGTGCTCACACAAGATCATGTGTTCTCTTGACTGCCATAGGTTTAACCCGAATATTAAGTTTTTATATAGAAGTCTGTCTTACTGCTGCTTGCTTTAATTCAACTATTCTAATTGAGTGAACAGTCTTCAAAGACACAAAGTCTAGGAATCTTGAAAACACTTGTGTAATCTGTACCCTGCTGGGGCTGGCAGTGGTAATTTGTCAATTTTATTTGTAGCAAGCTGTAACTAAACCTCGCCAGATATAAATCATCTTTTCCTACTACTACGTGTTATTTCAGTTGCAAATGAATCTCATTTCTTAGTTTAACACTCACATCAAGAAAGCTAGAAGGTTCCAGGAAAATTTAGAAAACCCTAGTCACCTACTGTAAGGCTTATTATGCAGTTTAGAGACTGTTTAAGTTAATACTGAGAAAATAGAGTGAATGGTCTCTGTAGGCAAGTTTGGAGCATAATCAGAATGTGTGATTGAAACAGAAAAGCATGTTGAAGCCTCAGTCTTGTCAGCTTAAGCACCACCTGCAGTGGGAGCCATGAAACATGGGTGATAACTCAGTCCAACTACATTGAAAAGCATGAGTGCCTAGATGGGAGAGTGCATGTTGCTGCAAAGGCCTATTCTCAGTTGGCCTCCCTGGGTTTTTTTGTTTGGTTGTTTTTTAGATGACGTCGTAAGAAATGCTGTGCTGGGGCAGAAGTTTATTGTGTCTATTTGCAACAGAAGATACTTTCTAAAAAAAAAATAAAAATGCACACCCAGCTACTTTCTGTGGTCAGTCCCATAAAATAACAGTTGCTGTCCACACTCAGGTGGCTTAAATGTAAACAGGATCCAAAATCCACCTCCTGTTATAACAGCTCACCACCCATCAGATAAAGGGCACCAAAAAAAAAAAAAAAAATCTATTCCTTCCACATCAGTATCATCTCAAGGCTCAAGATAGTATGTTCCAAATGAGTCCACACAGGTGTTTCTATAATAGTGGTAGATATTTTCACTTTAATCTTCTATCATAAAATGGTCATTTTATGTCTAACATTGCTCCTTTTTTGACTACTTTATTACCAAACCTTGGCACAGCACAATGTCATGTAAACGACTTCAAAAAAGTAACAAACGCTAAACTGATACAATATCAGTATAGCCAGAGCTATCAAACAATCATTCCTGGTACAGCATTGACAACATTTTGAGTATATTGTAACCCATCTTTTCTATGCTGTTAGGACAGTTGATTATTTTGCCTCCAATCCAACCGTGCCACTTTAAACCTAAAGATTCCTTTAGCCTTGACTGGCTCACTTCTGTGTGCTCTGGGTTCCCTTACCTTGAGCGAGCCAGAGCTTCACCCAGAGTTCTCAGCTCCTTTCCTGTTTCTCTCACTGCTTTCGGAGAGTCAGCCTGAAAGTGATCCCACTGAAAATAAACATTACGGTTTTAATTAAAAAGAGCTTAGCAGAGAGAAGGTATGCGCAGTATCTGCATTCATTTTTAATCACCCATTTTCTGAGTTGGTCATCATGTGGGACAGCGCTCTGTCATTTCACAAGCATGTAAACAAGTCTTACAGGACACCACTGTGCACGCCCCGGTGTACGTGTGTTCTGACAGCTTTTAACTCACTGGCTGACTACAAGCTTGACAGCGATCTTTACAGGCAGTGAAGCACCCACAAGCTTCCGTAAACTGGAGACAAGAAGAGATTGTTCATGGCCTAACTGAAGGAATGACCGCTGTGAGTGCTTACGCATTACTCAACTATAAAAAGAATGCACAGGAGAGAAACCTTTTAGAAGTCCCAACCCAGAAAAATTTTCAGTCAGGTTCAAAACAAGGAAACCGACATTTGTAAAAAACAAAACAATAAGAAAAGCTCCACAGACATTGCTGGTTTTGGAACATGGAATATAATGGTTTTATTATTTTCTCTCTTTTATTTTTCATGAGTGTACTAAGCAGGTCAGCAATTTTATTGAAGGGAATTAAAATCACCTGCTTTGTACATTGCTCAGAATGCCTTCCAACATATTTTCTTCTGAGCAGCTATGGAACCAAAATACATGGGAGATGAAAGCTGGCATTTGTGGTTGTACTAGCCCTAGTACCCTCAGGGTTTCCAGAAAACAGCTGCATCAGTATCATAGAATTATGACTGCATGCTGCACATATACAGTGTTTTTTCACGCGTTACGTAATAAAATATGCAGCTGAGGCCGTGCTCAATACGCAAAAAGAGTGTGGCTAGATTGCTGTCATCTGGAGGCATGGTACTGGTGTGCAGAGACTGAGGTGTTCCTTCAGGCAGTTTTGTGCATTTGTAAGTGTCCTATGTTGTCCAGAAAAATAAATCCCCAATAAAAGGAATAAAGATCCTTTATTATGCACCCATGAAAGTACAGTATTTTTACCAAATTACAGTAGAACTCTAGTTCTCACTCATCAGTGATTTTTTCTGATACCTCCAGGAGGAGTTTAACTAGAGAAGACCCATGAAATGCTCATGAGTCAACAGAAGGCTGGTTCCTTATGTACAGGACAGCTTTAAACTTCAAATTTGGCAAACATTTATATGAATAATTAAAATATGTTTGTTTGTTGCTGCCTCTAACTCCATCTCAAATCAAAGCCTCACCAGCAGTCTCACCTCAGGACTGATGGAGCACTTAGTAGTAGTAACCTCAGCCACTTCTTCGGGTGGTTTTTCCTGCACATCTTTTTTCCTTGGTTTCTAAAAAGTGAACAAAACCAGGTAACCACATTTGAAATACTGCTAGTTATCCCTACTGCAGCAAGTCATAATTCTCAAAATTAAGTGGTGCAAACACATTTTTTCTACAGAGATATAAACTAAAGCAATAATAATGGCAGTCTATCACAGGAAAACTAAAAATGTCGCTAAGTAACTCTGATGCACAAATAGATTCTCATATAAAGTACCTGCTGACAAGCTACTGTGCAAAATACACACATGCTTTCAAAATTAGTATGCTTAAATGCTTAGAAAATGTAACTTTTCTCTTAGAAGACTGTTATATAGACTACTGTGTGTAACACAAAAAGAAAATCCAATTTCCAAGACCAGAAATAGAAAATTACTTACCTGTAATTGCTCTTGCCTGAAGATACACACTGTGATAGACCACTATGCTTGGGTCTGTGCTTTCACCTACAAGGAAGGCACAGACTCCTAAAGAGCCCTGAAGTCAAACACAAGCACACTTTTAGAACTCCTTCAACCATCAGTTTATTCAAGTGGAAGGAAGATATTATTCCCTCTTATTAAAAAAAATGTATAGGTAGATTAATAAAAGACTTTAGATCACTCAGCAGTGTATGGTGCTCAGGCTAAAAGGATATGGAAATGATAATTCCATTCTGCACTAGTTTTACATCAAAGAGCTCACTTATTGTTTCTAAGCAAAGCAAAGCTGGAGGCCCTAGCAAGTCTTACCCATGTAGTTAGAGTAGAGTCAATGCACAAAAAAGGTTGCACAAGCAGACTCAGTTGCAGATGGAATCCTTGCCATGCCGTATAGCTTTTGTACAACAGAACAAAGCCTGGTCAAGTACTTAAAATTCAGAGCAGAGCATTTTTCTTCTTGGAATCTTCACTTGAGAAAGCACAAAATTCCAATTTCATGTTCCTATGTGACATTTGAGCAGAATAAAGGTTCAAAATGTATGAAACAGTATCTTCACTCACTGGGGAACTGCAAACACTGTTCTGATGTAACAACCGAGGTAGTCTGCAAACAAATGAAAAGCCAGGGGCAGGGAGGGCAGAGCAAACCCAAACCCTGAAGTGGTGGTAAGAGCAAAGTAGCTGGAATGGAAAGAAGATTTTCTGCAGCCACAGTGTAAGGACGAACTAATGTCAGAGAGGGGTCTGAATGCTCCACAATTTCATGTGACTGGGGTGCACTCGACAAAGACTGGTCAGCAGCAGAGCTAGATGCGAACTGACACTGCTTGGAAGCACAAGTCTTAGAGAGCACCACCACCATACCTGTTCATGGGCAAAAAGAAAGAGCTGTGAACCTGCCTCATCTTGGCACACTTGCTCAGGGAGGGAGGTATTGCATACACCATCCCCTCCACTCAGGAACTGAGAATGCGATTCAATCAGCCTTACCACAGAAAGCAGAAGGGAATAGCTTCCTTTTCTACATCCCCGTCGTTCATTACAATGTCATGGATTGGAAAGGTGCAATCTGAGCTTAAAACAGTAGCAGTACATAATTATAGAACAGTAGAACTCTCTCATTAATTTGCAGTGCAGATATAAAATACAGAGAAAAAACAATATTGGTGTGCCTAATTGGTTAAACTCAACAATATTCTATCATGACAACCTGCACAATATTTGGAGCCTGACTGCTGAGTTTTATTAGCGTTTCCAACTTATGAAGGCTTTCATCATAGTTCATCTAATTGGCTTTTAAGCCATCAAAAGCCCCGTTTCAGTGATCATTTCCTGCTTTCATTATAGTGAAGTAACAAAATCTGTATGTAAAAAAGAATTAAGAAAAAACACGCCCAAAAAATCATAAAGTAATACATGAAACATCATCTAAATGTGAGAGCATATGAGGAAATGACCCAGAAGTTTTCCATGAAGATGGTTACAGTCATTTTTCTCGTGATCGCTTCCAGCAGCTGCAGGTGAACTGAACTACAGCAGTCCTGCAGCAGGTGGAGCTCGATGCCATCGGATTGCCCACAGCTCCTGCGGACCTGCAGGGGACCCCTCCCGGGGGGGCACCGGGGGGGACCACGGGCACTCCTGCAGACTGCCTTGGATAGCGCTAGGTATGTCCTCTTCATCTTTAGAAAGAAAACTGAAGGCTCTTGAAGTACTTTTGGATGAAGAAATTCGTTCGAATAGCTTATTTCAGTCGAAAAATCGCTGCCTGCAAACTCTAGGTTTTATCCTAACAATTCCTGAATACTTCCACTGTCTCATCTAAACAATTCTGGAGATTAAAAACCGTTCAACTCCAACAAATCCTTGCTTTTATTAACCATTCTCTTCATTTCACACCCTACCATCTTTGCAGATGTCATTCTGTAAGTTCTGAGAATTTCCAACTTCCTTCTCCAAACCTTTTTATGGAAATAGCCTGAGCTGGTGGTGTATATCTGCTATAGATGGAGGATAAAGGTCCAATAAGCATGCTTTTATGTTGCACATTTTCATTTTTAACGTTCTTTTCTTACTTTTTTTTTTAAGCTTTTAAAGAATACATTTCCTCTGCAATTCCTGAAGTGTTGTTTGTTTGTTTGGTTTTTTTAATTCTGGGTAACTCATTAAGTTTATATTATTGTCAAAAACAGCAGATTGACACACCTATTGCACTCTTCTTCCTTCTAATATATCACTTGAATAGGAGCATTATGATTACATTTGCAAACTGTGAATGTGTTCTGATGAAAATAAATCAGCACAGCCTCATCTTAAGCCAAAATTTAGTCATCCAAATGCAAGATAGACCTGATGAAATCTATCTTTTAATTTCACAAAACTGTTCAGAAAGCTTTTGTGAAGCTCTACAATAGAGATGACTACTGCTGTCCTGCAGGTGGTATTCTAAATGTTGAATTTCAAAGGCAGTATTCTAGCCAAGTACCTGGGATTTCTTCTTTTACTGCTGCTGCTGCTCAATATTCACCCTTTTCTGCCCTTTCACTAGAATAGGGGAACATGCAACAGACATCAGAATCAAAAGAGAATTTTCAGTTCAACACAAGAAGCTCAGAGGCAAAGAACCTCACTAAGAACACACTGCAGAAAATTAAGATTTCTCTAATGTTATTTTAGTGATTCAGCTTAAAAACAACCAACAACAAAACCACCACAACTAAATCTAAAGATATAAATGCATGTCAGCATCAAAGACAAGATACCCGATTTGTTCCGGCTGTGCTGTACCGTATCAATAATGCAAAGCACTTTGCAGTTGAGGATCTCTGTTGCCAAGGGGAGCACTTGATAAGAGCTCTTGTAGCTCTTGTTCTCGGGCCCTGGTCAGAAACAGTCCTGATACATACAGAAAGGGGCACTCCTTCTCCTGTTTTACTACGAGTAGTTTTAACAAGCAAGGCAGTTTCAGTCCTGCTAGGTTTCCTTCTGCACTCCAGTGAACACATTACTGTCAGTATAGACATATCAGGAAAATGGAAGGAGACAGCTGAAAAGCGAGAGAAAGGTTGTCTGCTAGTGAAGGCAGGAGAATGAAATTTGGAATAAGTAGATTCAATTTCACCTCTGTCACAAATTTCCTCTGACATCCTAAATAAAACATTTAACACCTTATCCCAGCTCGCAGAAGCATTTTTATGTTTTATTTTTTACTACAATGAATTTTAGTACAAAATTCACAGCTCATTGTGTCTCTACTCCCTGTGTCTGGAATGGGAAAAATAACACTCCTCCTCCATTAACATCTATGAAGTACTCAGGTATTATAGTGATAGAAAATCTATGTACACAAAAACTGTTGTTTTCATACCAAAAGAAGCTGGAATAGCTTGGTGTTGTTTATTCCATCTATTTCTTACACTTTTTGTATTCCTTGGGGAAATCCTTGTTTTATTTTCCTGTCTCCAAAGAATATTTACCCAATTCCGTTAAGTTTGGGAAGTTTTGTAAAACATTCCCATCAAATTAATCTCAGTTATAATACCATTGTTGGCATTTACCCTACAGTTACTTTTAACTCCTCAAGCAACTACATTGTTTGAGCTGTCATCCCTACAGTCTCCATGAACTCTTTGCATTAATATAATCAGAAGATTTTTAAACATGTCCTTGAAAGTCAGTACAAATAAGCTTATATTGCTGCCTTCTGTTTCTGTCATTTACATGGTCCCTGGGCAACATGCCAATAACTCATATATGCAACACTCCTAAAACCTTTTATTCACATTTTTGGTTGCATACTGGCAATGATAATATTACTTGGCCTTAGCTAATGTTTTCTAGATATTTTCCCCTACTGAAGTTAGAATTACAAATGTTCTCGACAGATCTTCCAAAAGACCACATATCCCCAAAACATTTTGGATTGGCAAAATCCCCATTCTATTAGAAATTAATGTAATGTGTTAAACCAAAAGAAGAAAACCTTTTTTTTTAAATCACAATAGTGCTCACTACCTTCTTGCATTTAGTTAAGTTTAAAATAGATTACAAAAGTGCTCAAAGGAACCCTTTAGACACAAAGGGTATTCAGAAAGCAGAAACATCTATAAACATCTCTAAAAAAATAGGTTTTTACTTCTGTTAGTCTAACACAAGATTTCTTATTGGAATGCTATGCTAAAACCATGAAAGTTCATGAACCAAGGCAGGAGGACCTAATAAAATTATCAGATCAATATCTGCTACAGCACAGAGTCTCTATTCAATTCAAAAGCTACAAACAAAAAAAAAAGAACATGCTATTCTGTTCTATTTCACAGTGAGAACAAAGTTAATTTGTGAAGGAGCTGGGGGAAATACACAGCTGGAGAGCAGAGTTACCAGCCTCAGGAAATTCAAGGAAATGTAATTGAGAACAAATTATCTCTTTAATTACTTTTGACCAAATCAATAAAAATCATGGAACAAAAAGCATGATGACTGCCACCTGGTAGAGGACAAAGAACAAAGTTGAAAACTGCCACAAAACTAACACACAGTCATGTTAAGAACAATCAAAGCACTTCTCTTACAGAAGGAGGAAGAAA